TGCTTAACCCAAAAGTTACAAGACATTAAGCCATCCACTCACCTCAAATGAGCTTTAAGAAGATTCTACTCCCCTTAGTTGAACTCCGGCGAAGCTCCGACGAACTCTGGCGAAACTCCGGCGAACCGTAGAAACACTTTATTCAAGACCCTAACATGGTTTTATCATCATAAAATCCATATCAACACAAATAACATCCAAAAGGTTATTTTCCGGCGAACCGGTCATTTTAGCTTCTAAGTCCGTTCTTGGACTTAGAACTACCTTCCAACCCCTCATTCCAAATTTCTAAACATGTAGAACAAGCCCATGGATTCCTCATATGATTTATAATCCATATGGTAGCTAAGAGTAGGGGAAAAGTTAATATAAGGTCATTACCTTAATCACCACGCTTTTTCCTCACTTTTTCTTCCTTAAGTCTTCCTCCTTGGACTTTGTCTTCTTGAGCTCACTTGGCTATGGAGGAATGAAGTTTTGCAGAGTTTTTTCTCTTCCTTTGAGAGGCTTGGTCGAAAATGAGAGGGATAAGGGAGTAGGAATGGTCCTTTTGTCTCATTGGACAAATGAGTGTGGATGGGAGGTCCACCTCATGTCCTTTAGATGCCATCCCCTTCACCGCACCCTCTCTCACCCCTCTTTCTCTCATTCCAGCCGGCCAACCATTGGATTTAGTGACCAAAAAACGTGGGTTGGCCCCCATACATGTGGGAGGTCAACCCATTAACTCTCGAGGTGTACAATCAGTCCCGAAAGTTGTATTTTTCGAACTGTTTTAATTATATTTTATTTTAACGGGTCAAATAAAATATATTATGTGTTTCCCATCCTTATGGACTCTAAGAATGAATACACATTCCTCATCTTTAATTTAGAAGTCTCCGAAATCTGTTTCGGGCTGTTATCTGATAAATTGCCAATACCGGTAGTTGGGCTTCGTTTGACCGACGGGTCAACCCTAAGCCCTTTCTATGGCCCAACTAAAATATATACCATCATATAAATATTATCTAGACCAAGATGAATATAATAGGTGGTCCCGGAATTATCGGGTGGTCCCCGCTCCCGATGTTGGCCACACGTGCGGTTCACTATTCACGCGAAAGAAATAACCAAAAATTTACAACCACGTAAATTCATAAATCAATATTCAGGATTTATTACATGATTTACTAAAAGTAAATATACTTGGGGAAAGTGTTACAGTGGTTCTCCAGGGGCAGCTTTGAAAGAGTCATAAGCAATCAGTGTGGTTGCTTTCTTGGTCTTCAAACTGATGCTGGTGCCTTGGAGCAACTTTTCAATTTCGTCCCACATCTCCTTTTCAGTTTGCATGCTATCAATCAACACATAGACTTCATTTGGGATGGCTTGGAGCAGATATGTTTTTGCCATGAGGTCACCTCTCAGCCTTAACTTGTCTGCTTCAGTATATTCTCATGGTACTTTCCATCTCTGTTCAGGAATGATAGGTGGGTTATTCTCTACATCTCCTCCAACTGAAATCATCAGCTCAGCAGGTCCATCAAGGAGTGATTCAAGCATTGTAGCGGAATTGTCCTTGTGTTCTAGAAAGTTTAAGAATCGATTTCTCCACATTTGATATTCTCCTCTCCTTAGAACCGGAGGAGTGCTGCTGTTTCCTTGTGCATTAGATTCTGAAGCCATTGCTATAGAAAACTGACCGTTCGAGATTTGATCAAAAAGGTTTTAAGGCAGAACCTCGAGATCTTGAAAATCGAAGATCAACCTGGAGATTTAGGATTTCGATATAAGAACTTTGAGATTAAGATGTCGAGATTTGTGTTTCGAGATTTCAAAAGTCGAGTTTAGATCTCGAGATTTCAAATGTCGAGATTTGAAATGTCGAGATATATACTTCGAGATTTTGGATTTCGAGAAATCAAAAGTTGAGATCTAGATGTCGAGATCTTAAGTATTCGAAACCCAAATGTCGAGTTCCGAAAGTCGATATCCTCAATGTTGAGATCCTGCAAAAAGATAAATTTGAGATTTCAAGATCTGAAAGCTGTTCCCTGTACTTCTTGATGTCAAGATACTCCTGTGAAAATTTCAGCTCTAAAAGTAGAGCAGAGCCTGATAAAACACTAATCTCGAGATCTACCTGTCGAGATCTCTAAAACAAGAAGTTTGCAAAAAACGAAAACTAAGGTATACTGCTTGATCGTCTAAGCAGTGCGATCACAACAGTATAACTTTTACAGCTTTTTGATCAAGAACAAGAGTACAGATGATACAAACGAAAAATACAGATGAACGATGAAAAAATAACAGAGTCTTCGTCGTTGATCTTCTGATCAGTTCTCGATCGGCTCTGATACAATTTGTTAGTCCCTGTTTTCTATAACAACAATATATTATGATCTATCAAAGAGTAAAACAACAGAAAGATGAACACGATGAAAGCCCTCTTTGATATACCGTGAACTCGTACAGAGAATAATATGCGCTAAGGCTGTTTTGATCGGGTACGAAAGTTAACGCAAACCTAACCTAAAACGCCTTTTTATATGCGCATGTTAAAGGTTTGCGTAAAGGGTTTCAGCCTGATATGGGCCTGACACATTGGCCCCATATCTTTTATACCCTAATAAATACAAACATTAATAACAAAGGATATAATAAAAGCTAAGCTATTACAAGACATATGACAAGCTTGATTCACAATAGAATGATCTTCAACAGGAACCTTCCACCTCAGAACCTGTAGACAAACCAGCATACATCCCACCCCTTGTGAGAAAGTTTGCTGAGTTAAAGGAATCTTTTGATAAAGAAAAACAGGTTCTTGAACAGGAAAGAGATCATCTTCTAAAAGAGATATCATTTTTTAAAATGTCCTCTCAATCTCACACAGTTTCTCAAACCTCTTCCCCTTCTACCTCGGAAAAATCTTTTGAAAATTCTACCAATAGTTGTAAGACCTCCTCCACTCACTCTGAGTCTCCTTCTCCAACACGGAACCATGTGAAGAAGAGAGTCGAGAAGAGAGGAGAGTGGATTGAAGAGAAAATAAGAAGAAGGAAGAGAGAAGAAGATTCAAGAGTAGGAAATAAGAATCAGCGATCGAGTGCCCTATTTTATGTTAAGAATAAGTCTAGATTGAGCATTAGTGAACCGTGTACTGATCATACTAGGAGTGTTGTTACTAGGACTTTCCTTTGTGAACCTTTGACTAGTTATGACAGTAGACCCGCCCCTAAGTTCTCGCTTTCCAAGATATCTGTCACCAATCGTTGTACTAGCTGTGTTTCTCTGAATTATGTTAAGCTAATGAAATGTTGTTGTTTTGAGTCCACTTCCACTGATAATGAAACTGATCCTTTGATTGCTAAAGAAAATGTTGGTCCCGTTTGTAATAGAAACAGTCTAGAGGGGGGGGGGGGTGAATAGACTGTTTAGGAATTTAAACTTTTCTCTAAGTCAAGTCTGACTTATCAGAGATGGTCGAGATCTGGTGACAGAGATGGTCGAGTTCTGATGGCAGAACTAGACCAGGCAGCGGATAAGTTTCTGTCCGGGTAGCCTCTAGAAGAAAGCTAAGGAAAAATGCCTTTCTGATAACTCTGAAGGAAGATCTGCTGGACACAGAGTCCAACCTTAAGAGTTAGTCAGTAAAATCTTAAGTGCAGGAATTAAAAGCTTAAAGTAAATGACACCGGGGTTTTTATAGTGGTTCAAGGAACAACTTGTTCCTCTAGTCCACTGTTCCACTAAGCTTGCAAAAACAACAGTTTACAACGCCTTAGTCCCTAGAACTTAAGAAGCACTCCTCGTCTTCTTCAAGTCTAGTTGCCACCCGGGATGCAGTCCTGCTTCCTAATGGCTGGTCTCGTTTCACTGAGTTTCTTGAAGTATCCCCACTTCACTTACTCCAGCTAGTTTGAGACGTCCCTTCTTTTTCAAGAAGTGTTTGATATAAAATCAGTTTTCTCCAACGTTGTTTCTTCACAAAGGATGAGTATATGAAGCTTTCGAAGTGTTGAAGAACTGAGTAACTTTGCAGTTTGCTAGTTGGATGAAGGATAGGAAAATGTATCTTCCAACTGTAGTCTTTTCTTGTTTAAGAATGAAGTTTGAATCTTAAGAAGGTTGTTTGCGCAAAGTCATCCTCTTAGTTCTTCTGAGTGTATCTTATATACTGGGAGCAGTCTTCCCGTTGGAGTGTAGAAGACAGCTTCATTAAATGCATGTACTGTTGACTTGACCGGTTGGACCTTCGACTTGCTATTTTGGGGGCGTAAAGATACTCGCATGGTCAATCATCAGCTTTAAATATCTCTTCGTACGTACATCATTAAATGTGCATTTAATGCGTGTACAGTACCATGTTTCCGTTGAAAGGTTCGTAACCGTTAGGGGATTTCCCGTTAGTTTAACTTCCGGAATCTGGTGGGTTTAGCAGAGTCTTAAGAGACTCTCTGGTCCAATCTCTGAAGTCCGTCTCTGTTGCCAACTCTGGTATCTTTCTGATGACCAGTTTCTGATGGCTTCTCTGGTGAGCAACTCTGGGAGCAACTCTGGTAGAGGCAAGATGGAACTCTGGCAGACAGACTAAGCTAAAACTTACAAAAGAAATTCTAATACAAAATTTCTAATGGGGTACTTTCAAATTCTAATTAACCTAGCATCATCAAAATCTAAATACATTTATTCCTTACAATTCCCCCCTTTTTGATGATGCCAAAACCCTTTAACTATTTCCAGAGAAGTGCCTTTCACCATAAAAAAAAATAAAGTTTAAAACTTTTCATTAGCGTCTTGGTGGGCAACTTAGCATAGGAGAATAGTAAGAGTACGATACAATCAGATAGCAATAAAATCAAATACGATAACAGAATACACAAGAAAGTAAATAAGAACAGATATTTGAATAAGCCAAGCAAAACGAGAGGCAGAGTTGGTATCTTATTAATCTGATAGAGAAAGTAAAGCATTACAGAGTCAGAGATAGAGAGTTAGAGATCTTCTTCATCTACCTGTGGTCCTGCTCTGTCAATCCTTTCTAGTTCAGCATTTACCTTTGCTCTGATTGAGGCTAGATCCCTCGGATTCTGATAATCAGCCCAATGGGGTGCAAGTTTGCAGTCCAAATAGTTTCTGACAGCTTCTGCAGATTTCTTGCCATTGAGAATCTTCATACCATACCACATCTCAGCTTCTTGGATTGCACCACCATGGTTGATCTGGACAAGTCCATCACTGTCCATGAATAGATTCTCTCTTTGAAGAGGAGTCATCAGTTTCCTCATCTGTTCAAAATGAACTCTGTCTGGCCTTGACAGACCACTCTTCATCCAATCATTGAATGAGAAAGATGGAGTCTTTTTCTTTGAGCTTCTAGGAGGAGGAGGAGGGGGTCTGGTACCTGTAGCAGCTAGCCTTTTCTTCTTAGTTGCATCAAAATATGGAGTAGGATCAACCGAGGAAGGATCTCTGATAGAAAGGGCTCTGGTGCTGGGTCCTTCTTCTTCTCTGGTATCTTCCCCCTTTTTGGCATCACAAAGATCACCAAGGAGAAGTTCAATCTTTGAGAACTCAGAAGCTTGTGCATCTCTGATTTCGTCAAGGGTCTCTGGCAGAGTTTGGGTGACAGAGGCAAGTCCTTCAATCAGGCTTTGTTGATTGTCTACTGCAGATTGAAGATCCCTAGTGCTGACCTCTAGGAGCACCATCTTCTGGTACCTTTCCTTGTCAGACTTGAGGAGAGCCAGGCCTTGCTCTTGATGTTCCTTGCAGAGGGAGTGTAAGATATTGAGCTTCTGGGAGGAACTATCAGCAGATTTTTGGAGATTGTGAACAGAATCTGAGATCTTGTTGATTGTCTGATTATGGGTAAGCAGAGCTTGAGAGTGAGAGTGGAGAACAGAATTGAGACCACTAACATCTCTGGAGACAGAATCAATCCTTAAAGTAGAAGAATGCATGAAGTTATGCAGATTTTCTGTTAGAGCAGCAACTTTATCTGTCAAATGTTGAAACCCTATAGTGATTTGCAGGTTGGTATGGGTAAGCTCTTCATGTTTCTTGTCATTCAATTCAATGATCTTGCTCAGATCATGAACCAATATACCACCAAATGCTTCAGCAGATTTCACAAACTGGTTGAAGGGGATTTGGGGTTCTTCAGAAGTAAATCCAGGCATCTCTAAACCTCTGCCTTTGGGTAATGGAGAAGCTCTGTTGGATGGTGGAGGGGAAGGAACTCTGGGAGGTGTCCTTCTCCTTTTGGAGGTTTCATCAGCAGCAATGGAGGAGGTGAGGAATCCATCATTGTCACTAGAAGAAGAGGGGACCCTGAAGAAGGGTTTCTTCTTTGGTGTAGAGGCTGCTGAGTGATGTGAGGATCTCTGTGGTGAGGCAGATTTGGATGGTGGTAAGGAGTTTTGAGGAGGTGAATTTTGGGGAAAAGGGATAATGGGTTGAGGAGTAGGTTGATGTGAGGGAGATGGTGGGGGTGAAGGTGATCGATTTCTGGTATTAGAGGGTTGTTTGCAGGGTGATGAGGATCTGGAGTTGGGTTTCTGGTGAGATGGAGTTCTGGCGGAGGTTGAGGTTTTCTGGTCTGGTGAAGGGGTTTTCTGGTGAGGTGAAGTTGTTTTCTGTTCTGGTGAAGGGGTTTTCTGGTGAGGTGGGGATGAAGGTTTGGATGGAGATTTGGAGGGTGAGGGTTGAGTAATAGGAGATTTGGGAGGGGAGGGAGGAGGTGAAGGAATTACCTCAAGCACAATCTCAGAGAACATGGATTCTCTCCATTCCTTGATCAGCTTCTCCATGGTAAGAGCAATGTCATTTGTTGTGGAGGGTTCTCCTTCCTCAAGAGCGCTATGGCGAAATTTGATCATAGATTCTTTTCTTTTCTTCTCCATCAGCCAAGCATCAAACTCTTCCACTTCTTCTTCTTCCAAGGCTTTGACATGCCTTTCTGGAGATAGGTCAGATGTTGGAACTTTACCATGATATCTGTCTTTCTTCTTTTGTAGGACAGATATCAGGAAGGTAAGGTTGAAGCATTTTGACACATCATCTGTGCCTACCCAGTGAAGAACAACAGCTTCTTCTTCTTCATACGCATCAAAGTACTGAATGATTTGTTGGAGAGGTCCCATTCTCCATCTTCTCCAAGCTAGGACTCTATCAAACTGCTTCTGCAGAATGATTCTGAAGTCAGTTTCTTGGTCCATCTCTGGTGTGGCTTCACGCTCTGGTGAAAGAGCAGAGTTTGGCAACTCTGGTGCAGATTCTGGGTCAGCCTCTGGTAGAGTCCCAGATTCTGGTGCAGGTTCCCCCTGAACTGCTGATCCCTTGGCAGGTGAGATTACTTTAGTCTTCCTCTTCTTCTGCCTTGGTTGAGTGCTTGAGTTGTCAGAGTCACCACTCTGCACAACCATCTTTCTTCTTCTTTTCTGCTTCAGCTTTCTGGCAGGAGATTTCCTGGTTGCCTTTGGGGAGGGCAACTCTGGTGCAACCTCTTATGTTGCTTCCTTCTCTGGTAGTGACAGATTGTCACTTTTCTTCTTTTGTCTGACTTCCCTTACAACCTGTGACTGCTCAGGTTGTTTGGGCTTCTTGGCAGCTTTCTTAGGAGCAGGTTTGGCCTTAGCAGCCTGTTCTTCTCTCTTCTTCTCCAGCCTTTCCTCTCTCTTAAGCTCAGAGGAGATGGTTATGTTGAACTTTGGGGAGGCTGTGAGGAAGATTGTCTTGGAGTGATCAACTGGGATGGGATCCCTGAGTTGAACTCATTTAGTAGCAAGAATGGCAGAGATGAGAAGCCCATGTCCCATCTTTGTTGAGAAAAGACCTGTTTCAGAGTCTTTCTTCTTGATGAATTCAGTTAGGGAGCCAAAAATTACCTCGCCCCAATTGATGTTCATGCCATGGTGAACTGCAAAGATTGCCTTTGCATTGTTTTTGTTCATCTCATCTGTTGAAGCAGTGTTGCACCACAAGCACCGGTGCAGAATGCTGACCAGTTTCTCAAAGTCCTTCTTCAGCAGGAATTTCTTCATGTATAGTTTGTCCAGTCCGGCAGCCTCCGGGCGACAGTATGTCCGAACAAATCCTTCAGTGGAGACTTCCACTGAGTCAAGAGCAATAAGGTTGTTGGCTTCCGGGTCTTGGGAGTCAAGTTGAACTCCAAAGAACTCATTTAGAGCGTCTGCATTCAGAAAAATGCGTTGACCCTGCACTGAGGAATGAACTTCGGTCCTGGAGATGGTGGCGTTGAGGTAGAACTCAACCACGTCCTTGATGATGTAGTGCTCATAGGGGTGAGCAACTACCTTAGAAAGTTGTGAATCAGTCATCCCTTGGATGATCTTGGTCATCCTCTTCTGGTTTTCTGCCAGCAGTGGTAGAGACGACATGTCCACCTTCATGCCGGAGACAATGTTGGTGATGAGGGTCTTAGCTTCTTCCTTAGAAAGATCGTTGCTGCTGAGGAAGTTCATTCTGAGTGACGGTTAAGAAAAGTTCTGGGGATTGAAGAGTTTAGGATCGGAAAGCTTTGAATGCTAGAGCAGTTTAAGAGAGAGATGAAGTTGCAGTAGGGATTTAGGTTGAAGACGGTGGATATAAAGGGGTTAGGAATAGTGGACGTTTGGTATATTGGCAGTTTCGAGGTAGCATTTAATGGAATGCGGGCGGAAAACGTTTCCGTTAGAAGAGTAACGATCAGGGGTATTTTGGTAAAAGACCGTTTCAGTTAATTAGGTCTTGCCCGTACCTCGAAATATTGCTAAGTCCACATCCGTATCTGTTGTCTTTCTGATAGGGATCTCTGGTCAGAGAAAAGGGGGTTCTCTGATGTGAGATTCTGATGAACAGAGATAGGGGTTCTCTGATCTGAGTTTCTGGTGCAGAAGAAAGCAGTTCTGGTTCAGTGAATCTCTGGTTCAGGCATCTCTGGGAAGATCATCCATCATTCCCAGTTCTTCCCTTAGCTTGTTAAACCTTGCCTCAGGTAAAGGCTTGGTTAGGATATCTGCAAGTTGGTCTTCTGTAGGCACATGCTCCATACAGATATGCTTCTTCTCAACATGATCTCTGATGAAGTGATGTCTGATTTCAATGTGCTTTGTCCTGGAGTGAAGAACTGGATTCTGAGTGATAGCAATGGCACTGGTGTTGTCACACAACAGCTTGATCTCATTTGCTTGAATTCCATAGTCCTTCAGTTGTTGCTTCATCCAGAGTAACTGAGCACAACAACTCCCAGCTGCAATGTACTCAGCTTCAGCTGTACTTGTTGAGATGGAGTTCTGCTTCTTGCTAAACCAGGAAACAAGCCTTCCTCCTAGCAATTGGCAGTGACCAGAGGTGCTCTTTCTGTCTAGTCTGCAACCTGCAAAATCTGAGTCAGAATAACCAATTAGTTCAAAGTTACCTCCATTGGGATACCATAGGCCTGCATTTGGATTTCCTTTGATGTATCTGATGATTCTCTTTGCAGCACTTAGATGGCTTTCCTTGGGCTTTGATTGGTATCTGGCACAGATTCCAACAGAGAATGAGATATCTGGTCTGCTTGCAGTCAGGTACAGCAGAGATCCTATGATCCCTCTGTATGTTGTTGCATCCACATCTTTTCGTTCATCATCCGGACCAATTCCTTGTGATGTGTTCATGGGAATCTTTACAGAAGATTTGCCTTCCACCCCAAACTTCTTGATTAGATCTCTGGTGTACTTTCTGTTGGGAATATTTTATGGTGTTCAATCTAGTTAGTTATCTTTGTATTTGTGTAGTTATTAATTAATCATGTAATACGGGCCACAAATGTGTATCAGCCCGTGGGCTTCCTTGTAACCCGTAAGTTAGCCAACTTCTCCTATAAAAGGAGGCTAACTTACGGGAACCCTAATGATCGGATAGAGGCTTAGAGTTCAGAGGCGTAAAGATAGAGAGATAGGGTTTGCCGCTGCTCTCCTTCTACAGGGAGAGTAGCGGCGGGTTTTCATACGGTATACCAGATTCGCGTATAATATCTACATATCTTTCTATCTGCTTCTTCTATAACTGCTATATTTGTTGTTTGTTAAGTATTATGGAATTATCAATTGGTATCAGAGCAGTTATAGAAGAAACAACAAATAACAAATATAGTTACGTATATTTATTAGTGGTATTATGAAACAAATATTGTTATAGAAATATACGTAACTGTAACAAATATACGTATATTATAGTTACGTATATTTATAGAAGATAGAGATACGTATATTTAACAAAGAAACAACATATAGGAGAAGTTGGCTATACGTTAATAGTTGTTACAGTTACGTATAAACAACAAATAACTTCTATCTTAAAAATTGTATATAGTTATGTATATTTATAGAAGAAGATAGAAATATACGTAACAAATATAGTTACGTATATTTATTAGTGGTATTATGAAACAAATATTGTTATAGAAGAAGCACTGATATATTTATAGAAATATAGCAGTTATAGAAGAAACAACAAATAACAAATATAGTTACGTATATTTATTATGGGATTATCAATGATCAAATATTTTTTGTTTGTTAAGTATTATGGGATTATTAATTATTATTGGTATCAATTGATAATCCCATAATACTTAACAAACAACAAATATAGCAGTTACAGAAGAAGCAGATAGAAAGATATGTAGATATTATACGCGAATCTGGTATACCGTATGAAAACCCGCCGCTACTCTCCCTGGAGAAGGAGAGCAGCGGCAAACCCTATCTCTCTATCTTTACGCCTCTGAACTCTAAGCCTCTATCCGATCATTAGGGTTCCCGTAAGTTAGCCTCCTTTTATAGGAGAAGTTGGCTAAGTTACGGGTTACAAGGAAGCCCACGGGCTGATACACATTTGTGGCCCGTATTACACGATTAATTAATAACTACACAAATACAAAGATAACTAACTAGATTGAACACCATAAAATATTCCCAACAATATCCCCCTTGGTGATCAATCGTGTTGAATCAGCATTGCAGCGCAGATATCTTTGTCTTTGTTGTTATAGAGCTTCCTTTGTCTTTGAACTTGACTTCTGAGGAAGGCTATCTGAAGAAATCCTTGCAATCTCCCCTTTGATGTCTTCTTGACAATTTGATCTTTGATGCTGGGGATTGAGGGACCTTCTGTATCTTGCATGTAGTCCTTGCCTTCCAGAAGTTGCTCTTGGATGAAGTCCGGTGACGCCTCTAGAATGAATATTCTTTGGAGAATAGGAGATGTCCATGGAATTCATCTTCAGGACACGAGTATTTGACCTCTGTCTCCTCCACAATGTAGTCTTTTTGACTATTTTGAATGAATGCATTTGAGGAGAACTTGTCGGTGGCACAGCGGAACATAATGATGGTTGATTTGTGAGTGTAGCTGACCATTTGATTTGAGTTGCGGAGATAGTAGAGAGGGTGTTGAATTTTGTGATGGAGGAGTGAAGTGTCCCAGAATGATTTGTTTAGTGTTAACAGCACATGGACCACTCTCCCCCTCATGACGATCCGATGAATCGGGACGTCATGCTTTTATTCTTTTATTCTGCGGAAATAAAAAAGGAAAAAAAACAAGCAGAATCTAAAAAAGATAACGTAGCCCCCCGGGGTCGTGAAGACGCCCGTTATCATCACTATAGAGATAAACTCTTAAGCAATGGCCTGAAAATGTTGGTGATTCTTATGTTGCAACAGCAGGACTTCCTTCCAATTATTGGTCTACATCTGTAATAGATGAGCCCTATGGAAGTTCTCGCGGGTCATGAAGACCTGCAACTGACTCTAAAAGTGCGTCCGTGTCCTAGAAAATTTCAAAACATTTGGGAGTGAGTAACTAGACACGACGTGATCAATGAAAGTTCAGTGGCATGGGGCTGAGGCCACTGTAGTCAGTATTACTTGCCTCGTAATGAGGTAGTAATGAGAGATGCGGTTCCCCGTGAAATATGATTAAACACTTGTCTGTTGGGAGACAAGTGAGTGGTCTAGGGTAGGGTTGTGCATGCGCCGTTTGGACAAAATGCAGCGACTTCTACCCGGGATCTGAATAAATTCAGTCCTGAACCTATGGGGATAGTCCAGACTATTTTAGTGGCTAGGAGCAAATGGTCAATTCATAGCAGGCAATTGAGGTAGCAGAATCATCATTGATAATTGTTTTTCTTCTCACTTGAGCCTTCTGCTTCCTAATGCTCATAATGTTCACTCACTCACTCGCTCACTTACGCACTTACACTCGGCTTTGTCCCTTGGGTAGGCTTAGTTGGGTTTACTAAGCCATAGGGACATGTTCTCTCATTACTTTCTTCATTTTCTCTCTGTACTCCCCCTCAACTGGAGCACTCGGTATGCTTTGTCATTGTTAGGCACCGGGGAGGATAACATTGAACACTCCCCCTAGAATGGTGCATCCGTTGAGAGATTCCTTGCTTTGTCTGTGTAAGGCGCCAGGAGGAGAAAACTGAAACTCCCCCTCAGAATGTGCAAGGTTTGATTGCTCACAGCTTGTCATACCCGCCATGTGTGTGGAGCAATCTGAACATGTACCACACATGACGGTTTCCCTGAGCTCACTATGCAGAATTTCAGCATATTGAAGATGACATAATGTTGATGAGTCAGGGGAGGCTTCAGCAGTTGATTGTTGATTGTTGTAAGATGACCGTTGACGCGAGGTTGATTGAATTATCTACGATTTTCAGACCTTTACATTGAAGTTTAGAAAATGTTTGACCTCAGGGTTGACTTTGAAAGAATTTGAACAGATTTGCCTAAGTTTTGACCTGGACATCGGTGATTTACAATGTTTGTCGGAAAACTCACGTTTTGACCCTCAGAGACTGCGAGTGAGGGCGCGTGAGTATGAGGTCTGGGGCACAGCCCCAGAATAAATGTAGATCTTTTCGTTAGCTTTCCAACAAAAAAAAGTTTGCTCAAATCGGATCACCGAGTCAAAAGTTATGGCCAAAACAGTGCGGTGTCGCAGAAAAATCTCTAATTTTAAGTTTATGAGGAAAATCTTCGAGGTTGAGGTTCTCGATGTTGAATTTCGAGAGCAGGTGAATTTAAACAAAATTCTAAGAAAAAAAACTCGAAATCCAAATCTGGAGATTTTAATTTCAAGTGTGCCTTGAAGAGTAATGACGAAATCCTCCTGCAAAACAGACCTCAGAATGACGAAATCTTCAGAATTTCAAAATGTTTGGAACCTCGAAAACTTTGGAGTTTCGAAAAACCTCATAATCTCGAAAACTTGCTGTTTGAAAAACATCAGAACATCGAAAACTCCTGAAACATTTATATAAGCAGGGAATCATTCAGAGATCCTTATAATGTAAAGCTTCGATGAACTGCAAAGGATGTCAAGATTCGAATTATGAGTTCCAAGAAACTGCAAACTTTGAAAGATTCAAAACATCGAGAAATTCCGAAAATTCTGAAATTTTTTAGAATGTCGAAATCCAAAACATCGAGTTCCTAAAACTCGAAATAAATTCCAAAACTCGCAATTCCAAAACTCTAAAATTTTAAAAACTCGAGGTTTAAAACTCGATGTCAGAACTCGAGGTTTAAAAACTCGAGGTCAGAACTCGAGGTTTAAAACTCGAGGTCAGAACTCGAGGTTTAAACTCGAGGTCAGAACTCGAGGTTTAAAAATCGAGGTCAGAACTCGAGGTTTAAACTCGAGGTCAGAACTCGAGGTTTAAACTTGAGGTCAGAACTCGAGGTTTAAAAACTCGAGTTGAAGACTGCGAGTTTACGCATCGAGTTGAAGACTGCGAGTTTACGCATCGAGTTGAAGACCGCGAGTTTACACATCGAGTTGAAGACCGCGAGTTTACACATCGAGTTGAAGACATCGAGTTTACACATCGAGTTGAAGACCGCGAGTTTACACATCGAGTTGAAGACCGCGAGTTCATGACTGCGAGTTTAAAAAATCTCGTTTTATAAAACTTTCGAATTTTGAGAATCTGAAAACTGTTCTGAATAGCCCTGAAGGTCGCGATCCCTCCTGTATCTGTTTCAAGTCAAAATCGTTTCTGCAGGCATAAAAAAGCATAAACTCGAGTTTTCAATGAGAGTTTTTCGAAAAATGAAAATTTGCAGAAAACGAAAAAGAAGATATGCTGTAGAATCGGTTTTGAGAGGCGATTCCAACAGTATAATTTTTACAGATTTTCGTTCACAAACAAGATTACAGGAGCAAAACTCTATATGAAGAAAAAGAGAATAAAAGCAGAGCATTCTTCGTTAGATCCAAGAAAAACGCAGATACATTCAACCTGTTTCACGCCTCGGCTCTGATACCAATTGATAATCCCATAATACTTAACAAACAACAAATATAGAAGTTATAGAAGAAGCAGATAGAAAGATATATAGATATTATACGCGAATCTGGTATACCGTATGAAAACCCGCCGCTACTCTCCCTGGAGAAGGAGAGCAACGGCAAACCCTATCTCTCTATCTTTACGCCTCTGAACTCTAAGCCTCTATCCGATCATTAGGGTTCCCGTAAGTTAGCCTCCTTTTATAGGAGAAGTTGGCTAACTTACGGGTTACAAGGAAGCCCACGGGCTGATACACATTTGTGGCCCGTATTACACGATTAATTAATAACTACACAAATACAAAGATAACTAACTAGATTGAACACCATAAAATATTCCCAACACTTTCCTTGGTTGATGA